AGACAGCTCCGACTCAGGGACATCAAGGACCCGGATCTCCCCCTCCTTCGGGGGGACGCCCGTGAACCTGTCAGCGCTGGCCAGCTCCTTGCCTGGGGGGCGCGGCTCCTTGGCACCCTCAGCATCCGTGGCCTGCGGGGTATTGGCTGGGGTGCAGGTGGAGGAGCCTGACGCGGCCGGGCAGGCACCGGCCGCCCCCCAGGACTCAGAATCCGAGGGCGCTGCGGGCATCTGCTGCTGCACGATGTTGCTGACTATGCCTCGCAGAAAGTCCTGGCTGGGCAGCAGGGAGCCGGGGGACCTGGTTTCCGGGGGCGCCAGGGCCCACAGGCCACCGGGCGCCGGCTGGCCAGCCGCCTTGTGGCCGTGGGGCAAGTCCCCCAAGGGCTCCTCCTCTGGGGGTGCCTCCTTCAGGACACACATGCTGTGCTGGACCTCGTAGTGGCGGCGCAGTGAGCGGCAGTCAGAGTAGCTCTTGCTGCAGCCTTTCTCGACGCACACAAACGGCTTAGTCTTCTGGTGGGTAAGCATGTGCCCTGTCCTGCAGGAAGACACAGGGGGATGGCTCAGCGGTGCCTTGCCAGCCGTGCCACCACAGGGCCCTGTGTGGATCCTTGGTACACAACCGGCACTGGGGCCACTGGGAAAGATGGCCAAGAGGCCTGCCACTGGTCTTGCGATCTGCAAGGGAGCTCCCCTTGAAACAGACCTCTTTGTGTTAAAAAAATCAACGGAAGCCAGGCTAGAGTTCCCCGGGGGGGTGGTTGTCTCAAGGAATGCTGGTCACCAGAGCTGCCTCCACCCAGGACTCCAGCTCCGGTGGCAAAGGTTTTTTGTAAACACCATTTGCTCCTTGGAGGTTCCTGATGCACATTAACAACAAGAGAACCCAGGCGGGAGGGAAGCACTTGTGAAGCACTTGTTTAACATGCGTGCCCACAGAAGGGTTTTTGCAAGCAGCTCCTATCACCTCCCTCAGAACTAGAGTTCTGGTTCAAACTAAGAAGCCAAACCTACTGCCACCTAGTCCATTGCAACTAGAGGTGATCGGTATGTTACCGTGAGGAAATGTTAATTGAGGAATTATCCTTCCTTTAGCAAGGGAGCCTACACCTTACCATGGGATGCCTCAATAAGGAGACAGCTACTCTGACCCCCACACCAGAGAAGCCAATTTACAGATGTTCAACCAACCCACCAGGAGCTCTGGTGCTGCAGTGGTTAAGGTATTCTGCTAACCAAAAGGTCGGTGGTTCAAGTCCACCAGCTGTTCCAGGAGAGAAAGATGAGGCAGTCTCATCTTTCTCATCAATCTAGGTAAAGATTGACAGCCTTGGAAACCCTGTGTTGCAGTTCCACTCTGTCCTCTAGGGGTGCTGTGAGTCAGAATGGACTCCACTGGCAGTGGGTGTGGTTTGGGCTTTGCTTCTGTAAAGATTGACAGCCTTGGAGATCCTGTGGGGCAGTTCCACTCTGTCCTCTAGTGGCTCTGTGAGTCGGAACTGACTCCACAGCAGTGGGTTTGGTGGGCTCTGCTTCCATGAATACTGACAGCCTTGGAAACTCTCTGGGGGTCACTATGAGTTGGAATCAACTTGATAGCAGTGGATTTAATCATTAAAAACTTTTCTAGAAAATAGCCAAATGTGTTGAGAATTTTGGCAAATACAGACTGTATCATATTTACATAGAGATGTTGTTGTTGGGTGCTGTGGAGTGAATTCTGACTCACAGTGACTCCATGTGACGGAGTAAAAGTACCTCAGAGGGTTTTCTTGGTTGTCATTCTTATGGAAGCAGGTTGCCAGGTCTTTCTCCCATGGAGCCACTGGGTGGGTTCAATCTAACAACCTTTCAATTAGCAGCTGAGCGCTTAATCACTGAGCCAACAGGGCTCCTTTGGTACTTGACATTAATAACCTAACTGTAAGTGAATGAGTACCTCACCCATCTGGGTTCCTATCAGTCTTAGTGTGGACAGTTCTAGTTAACGTGGTATGGGGGATGCTCCCCAAATGAATGAATAGTAAAGCCCATCCAGACGAGGGAAGCAATAGAGAGAAACCGGTGTTTCTGTCAGTTACCGCCAAGCTGTCTCTGACTGACAGCAACCCCACGTGTGTGCAGAGAACTGCTCTAAAGGCTTTTCAAGGCTGTGACCTTTCGGAAGCAGAGAGCCAGGCCTGTCTCCTGAGGTGCCTTTGGGTGGGTTTGAGCTGCCAACCTTTCAGTTGCTTAACCTCTCAGTGCTCAACCATCTCCACCACCCAGGGACTCCAGTGAAGGAGTTGGGAGAGCTAAGTTCTAGCCAGCAACAAGCTCTAGGCCCAACTCTTTTACCAGCTAGCGAAAGGAACAAATCCCTCCCTTCCCCTCGGGTGGGGTGGGGGACAGGACCAAATGAAGAAGGGCCAGTAGCAGCCCTGGGTGAGGGACAGGGACACTATGAAAACGCAGGGGTTGCACCTCCCACGTTCAAGACTCGCTTTGAAAAAAGCCTGTCTTCCCTTCCCTCATTGAAGAGGAGGCTTATCATCTCTGAGACGGCAAGAACAATGGGAACTTCTGCACCAAACTCTTACAATAGGCTTCCTTTTAAAAACCGAGAGTTAAAAAACATGATACTTAAAAAAAGAAAATTGGGTTAGTCGATGCTCTTGAAACAAAGAGCATCTCTGAATCTTTGGGGCCGTGTTATCCTGACACATTTCCCTCACAGAATGTTGATCTGTTTCCCCCAGGTCCCTGCCAAACTAAAAACCAGCCCATCACAGTCAGTTCTGTCTCTTAGTGACCCTATAGGAGCTCTAGGGGCATAGTGCCTAAGGCATTTGACTGCTAACCAGAAGGCTGGCGGTTCAAACCCACCAGCCACTCCTCAGAAGGAAGACTGGGCAATCTACTTCCATA